ATTTATACCGTAGTCCAGTGTTTCCCAGGCGGCATATATATGCAAACTCATTCTCTGCCAGCAGGGGGCGCTGTTGGAGTGGTAGAGATCGTAGAGATCAAGGTTTCCCCGGTAAAGGCTGTACACAAAGCAGCGCTCCGCTCAAAAAACACTGCTTTATCAGACATTACATACAAGATTAAATGTAAATGGCATCCAATTTTCTGAAGACAGTTGGTTTCCTTCAGAAATACAGCGATATAAAAACACCTGCACTCAATGTATGGGAAACACTGTAGTATCATAATTGAAGTGTAAATTCTGCAGATTACATCATTGTCCAGTACTGTACTGTCAGCAATTTATTATAAAAACATTTTCATAATTGTAACATACATATTTACATACATAATTATTCAGGTGCATGTGTAATAACTTGCGAAAAACTTGAGGCTACAGCAGCACTTCTTCGTCGTCGTCTTGTCTGATGCACTCAACCAAGCGTTCTAGCCACGACCTCGCCCCTCACCCCCCAACCATTCGAATTTCCGTAGGCGGGAATTACTTTAATTATATTCTAATGGGCCGCTTTGTGATATCACTGTGACGAGAGGGGCGGGGCCGAGAGCCGTGGGAACGGAGCGAGGTCGGTGGAGTAAATGATAATGCACCACTCACCGGTCTCGAGTCCCACGGAGGAGCTCCGGAAGGATAAAAGGAGGAGTGACGACAGTGTTGGACGAGAGAGGACCAGGCCTGGACTTTATTTTGTGTTTTGATTCCGTTTGTGCTGTCGCGCTATTTTGTGTTTATTTTATTATTAAAGTTTTGTTTGAATGTTAGCCGGTTCCTGCCTCCTTCCCGAACTACGAACGTTGTTACATTCACAAAACCCGGAAAACAAACGCTGTAGTCCAAACGAGCCATTCGTTGTAGTTCTTGAAAAGGGATTTTTAAAAAACGAAATATCTCCCTTTGGAGTGGACTTTGAGATTTGTAAGTTTGAAGATCTTTTTTATGCCCAAACATACACACTACACACTGACTAAAATTCTAAAAGTGAAAAAGCATAATAGGACCCCTTTAAAAAGATTGAATAGGTGCAGAAAAACTGCCAGAAACATCTGACGTCCATCTGCGTCAGCATCTGACGTCCAGTTTACTTACAGTAAAAAGAGGGATCATAAAAAATTGTTTTATTTTAAATGTAGTACTTCCCTTAATAGGCTAATTCACATAAAATATGGTTACATATAGTGCAAAAAATAAAATAACTGAATTTACACAAATGACCCCATTCCTAAGTTTACATAGCTATACATTTATCGCCTGAGAAACAGTCTTATTGGTCCTTTTTTAAAATAATTTTCAGATTCTGCTAAAAGAATGTAAACTTCAGACTGTCCTGAGCTTTGAAGAGCAAGATCTGAGCAAAATACTGTGCATACATGTCATGTGACTGTGTGCAGTTAATCTAAATCAGGTTTTACACACAGTTCATTTAATTAACCCCAATAAAGCAATCTACCCATCATGTGATACTTTATTCAGTTACAGTACAGTACATGATTTAACTTAAGTGACTGCATCTGGCACACGCACACACACACATGTATGCATGTATACATTCACAGAAAGTAAGGGGAACTGGCTTCATGCATCCACTATAAATCACCAAAACATTATCTAAATTCAAAGACAATGTGCAAAAACACAACAACAACATCAACTCATACTTAATTCGTCTGTAAACACATCAGGACATCCTAAACACTGATTCATGCAGTAACAACAGGTGCAATAGCTTTTGGACTTCTGATCCCATCATTGGTACAGTACTGTGTCAAGAACACAGAAAATAATACGAACTCAAGCCTGTTGTTTAGTGTCAGAACATGAAGTGGATTTTCACTTACCTGATTCAGAGCAGAACCGGGCTGAGCCCTGGGTCACTCCTTCACCGCTCATCCGGAGAAACGCTCGCCCTGTTGATGCCTTTCCGACTGTATTCCGATCAATCCGGCCGTCCGTCCGTTTCGTTCTGCTTGCGTCTGCTGCGGTGTCCACGAGCCAAATCAGACGCCTGCTGAGTGAAGCACACGTGCCCTGAACTGACGCGTTCGGCGACAAGATACCAGATACACAAACACACAGCGTGTTATTAAAGGGTTAGAGGGCGACGACTAATGGTCAGAGGACGATAATACAATCTGATGCCAGACAATTAACAAACTCTCATACCTTATGGTGTGTTCAAGTCCTCCTGGGAAGTTCGTATTTACGACATCAAGTGCGGTCATTTGGTCGGAGCAAGATGATTGATGTAGCTTTCCTTCAACAACAGCAAGATTTTTAAACTCTGCTTCTACAAAATGATTAATAAAGAATGTGCATCAGTGCGTTTTTATGTTTTCATTCAATTTATAAAGATGTTGTGATTTAATCATTATATATTTTACTGTAATTTTACTTTACTATCATATTTTGTACTTGCAACTTTGTTCGTTCTATTGTAATTGAAAAAATAAAAAATGTCATTGATTTCAACAAATTTACCGCCAATACAGACACTGCATCAATTACGTCAACCATGTTTTCTCACTGACACGCCCACAACTCAGAGTAGATGAGGTTCCCTTATTGAGTCGGTCTCTGGACATTACCTATGGGGAAACTCTTTTCCTCCTTGAGATGCTGAAGCCTGACTGAATCGCTCTATTGCTCCGCAATAGCCAATTCACCTGATTGTCGGCTCAGTCGCTATATGGGACATTCTACCAGAAATGTACATTATCTGTCCTTGACTTGTTACAGTGAATAAAAAGTATTACATCCAAAAAAATGTCTAAAACTGACTGATGGTTGATTTCTGTGAGTTGTTCTGTAAAGGAATATGTCATTCATTAGGTTCTCAGATATTATTTAATTTATTAAAAACACTTTTGAAAATTACAAATCCTGTCCTTGTCCTTGTCCTCAGCCAAATTGGACCTACAGCTTTCATAGTTTTGTTATGCTAAAAACTGTTATTTAGAAAAAAAAACTCCATCAATAAGTTTAAGTTGTTATCATTCACATCAACTGATTAAAAACATGAAATTATACATAAATTCTACAAATAAATACTATTTTACAACTGTCCCCATGTTTTCGGTCAGTCCTGTCACGTTTACATAAAACTAAACATAAAATGTGTGTAATGCGCCTTTAAAGGTATGACTCAAGTGACATAATTTGACTGAGGTGAAGCTGACACTGATCAAGGGTGAGTTCTGTCATTGAATTGTATGATTTTAAGCTTGTTTTTGTATGATTTTTTTTTAGGAGGACGAGCTTAAGGGTCAGGCCCTGTCACGGTAAAACATCCCAGAAAATAATGAATTTTACTTAAATAAAGAACACAAAACATAACTTTTTCTGCATCAACGAAATCCATAAAGCCTCGGTCAGTCCTGTCACACAGGAAATTATGTTATAAAAATGTAATATTTGAGGAAATATTGATGAATTAATCTCTGTAACTGTGTAGATGAAGGTTGGAGTATGTATCCACTACTATGTTTTAGAAAAAATCTCCTCTATAAAGGCAGTTTTTTTACAACTATATGAGTGCCTGGCGGGGTATTCTGTGATTTTGTGTACTACAGTTGACCGAAAAGTTTATTTTTTTCACCCAAGATTTTTACAAGTGGGAAATGTACGTTTCTGGTAGAATGTCCCATATAGGTGATGTAGAGCACCAATTTACCTCAGAATCGTTCTCCTTCACTTAGCGATGGTATTTTCAAGAAACCTCTTATCGCTCACCGTTGAAGGTACGCTCTTCAGTGGAAGGTGCCCGGATTGCCATCCCTTGAATTCCGGGCACCTTCATATTATTTTTTTTCATATTGTACGGAAGCTGTCCGTTCACTTCTTCACCTCTGCCGCTGAGCCGTGGAGACGGAAGGCACGGCAGCTTTGGATAGAAAGTTTAGGTGATGGGCTTGCGATATGTCAATTCCCACATCCACCTTGTTCACCTAAACCTCCCATGTCCCCCATGCAGACCCAGTACTTACTGCTCGAGTTTGTCTACCCTCCAGTAAGCGAGGCCCTAAGGATTTTGGTAGCAAGCTGCGTGGGCCCAGTTCCTGCTTTTTCCTCACCCCTCCCCCCTAAGCCGGGACCTGAAGTTGGCGGGAAAATAGCCGTTGCTGACAGTGCTGTCTATGAGAGGAGGTTTACAGGGGTTCACAGACCCTTATTCGCATGATTCAAGCAGCCCTCTGCCTCAGAGCAGCGGCCTGCCATGTACAGAGCACAGAGAAGTTCAAGTCGCTCGATCGCTCATTTGCACAATACCAGCAGCCCCTTGACTCAAAACAGTGGCCAGTCATGTGCCGAGCACTGAAAGGTTCCTAACTAACTTGCTGGATGTCAGCAGCCCCTTGCTTTAGAGCAGTGGCCAGCCATGTACAGAGCCTGGAGAAGTTCCAGTCACTCGATCGCTCATTCACAGAACATTTCAATATCAGCAGCCCCTTGCATCTGAGCAGTCCCAATCGCTTACTCATTCACACGATAGCAGCAGCCCCATTCCTCAAAGGAATGGTTAGCCGTATGCAGAGCTCTGGAAATTTCAGTCGCACACTCACTCCCACAATGGAAGCAGCCCATGCCTTCCAGCAACCAGCAGTGGACACAGGAAAATTCCAATCATGCACTTGTTCACTCGATACAAGCAGCCCCTGCCTCAGAGCGGCGGTCAGTTATTAACAGAGTAGAGAAAGTCCAGTCGCACTTATTCACGCAATGCAAGGAGTCCCCTGCTTCCGAGCAGTGACCACCCATGAACTAAGCATAGAAAATTTCCAATCACTCGTTGATTCATACAATGTAAGCAGTCCCCTGCCTCAGCCCAGCGATCAGCTCAGTACAGAGCACAGAGCAGTTTTCGACTGCTCACAATGCCTTACGCGGCACAGCCCCCTATCTCAGTGCAGTGGTCAGCCGTGTACTGAACACAGAGGAGTTCCAGTCGCTCACTGGTTCACGTGTTATAAACAACATCTGCCTTGGAGCAGAGGTCAGCCGTGTACAGTGCACAGGCGCACTTTGGCCACTCATTAACTCACGCAGCACAAGCAGCCTCCTGTCTCAGTGCAGCGGACAGCTGTGAATTGCCAGCAATATAAGCGAAACCTCTCCCCCAGGAGACGTTTGGCAGAGCTGATGCTCGGCTCAACGAGCTGTCAGGTGTGTGGGTCCCCATGCAGCAAGCCACAGACCAGTCACCTGTCAATCACTTAGGTGATGATGTTTTGTCAGCAACTGGCATGCAGCCCTCGCCGCCAGAAACACCACTGTCCCCTTTATCAAGCCACCTGAGCATGTGGGCAGCGCTCCCGGCGGCGTCGGTTTGGGTGATGAACACTATAAAGTGTGACTATAGACTTCAATTCGCTCACAGACCGCCCCGCTTCAGCAGCGTGATTATGTCAGAAGTGTCAGAAGAGAGCGCTCTGCTGTTATGAGCAGAAATCTCCTCTCTCTTAGCCAAACAGGCAGTAGAGATAGTACCCGAGGAGCAGAGGGCTATTCAGCCACTACTTCCTTGTCCCAAAAAAGGATGGGTGCATGCACCCAATGTTTAGCACTGGCGAAACACGCATTCAAAATTATTACAGTGGAGCAGATCCTCGCGCACATCTGGCCTGAGGACTACTTATTTTCTACTGCTTATTTTCATATTCAGATAGCCCCTCATCTCAGGCGCTTCCTGCGATTTACATTTTAAGGTGTTGCATACCAATTCAAAGTGTTATCGTTCTGGCTAGCTCTGGCCCCCTGCACGTTTACGATGTACATGAATGCAGCGCTTTCCCCCCCTGAGACTCAGTGGCATGCACATGCTGAACTACCTTGACGAGTGGCTCATCATTGCTCAAAACAAAAAAAAAAGGAAAAGTCCAGGAGTGTGCTCAAGGACCACAAACACATCCTCAACCATTTTGAGTGCCTAGGTCTGTCTGTGAACATGCAAAAGAGCACGCCTCAGCCCTGCCAGTCTATTACATTCCTGGGGATGGTTTTAGATTCTGGGACTTGCTGCATATGAGGCCGCTGCAACTATGGTTACAGAGTCATGTCCCACTATAAACTGCCTGGAAATAGAAGCTGTTCGCTTAGCATTGCAGGAATTTCTACCGTTAGTGTGTGGCCGTCACGTTCTGATCCGAATGGACGATACATTGGTGGTGGCATACATCAATTGCCAGGTAGGAGTGCGCTCGCGTGCCCTGCAAAGCTTGGTCCAGGGAGGGCATTATACATGGAGAGTGGAGACTGCATCCTCAAACAGTGAAGATGATATGGAGCCTCTTTGGCAAAGCAGAAATTGACCTCTTTGCTTCAGAAGAGAATGCCCACTGCCCGTTATTCTTCTTGATAAAGACCGCCCCCTTGGAAGGGGACGTGCTGTTGGGCCACTGGACCAAGGGGCGGAAATATGCATTCCCTCCAGTCAAAATAGTGCCGCACCACTGTCACCCCAAGCCTGACTGTGGGACCTGCATGTATGGCAAGTCAACGCGGAGTGAACTAGCTGGTTGCTGCACACGATAACAGAGGCTAGAACCCCTTCGACGAGGCGCCTATGCACTTTGAAGAGGAAAGTGTCAACAGACATGAGGACCCATCGAGTTGCGATATCCCCACTATTTTGAACTTCCTGCAGGAACACAGAGATGCGGGCAGCTCTCCCTCAACGCTAAAAGTCTATGTGGCTGCATCATCGCAGTTTTTCATCTGCTTCGTGAGTGCAAAGAAAGGCGGCCCACTGTCAAAGCAGAGGCTGTTACATTGAATTGGAGAAGCTGTTTGCCTAGCTTATGCTTCCCGAGGACTCGACTGCCAAATGTGTGCCCAATTCATCGGGAGTCTGGCTTCTTCATTGGCCTGGGTTAAGACATGTCTATTCAGGACATTTACCTCGCAGCGGGCTGATCATCCCAGAACACTTTCTCAAGTTTTTTCAAACTGGATATTCTCTTTTTTTGCACCGCACGTTCTGTCTGTGCAGGAGGGGAAGGCTGAGCAGCCATTGGATGACTAATTCGCTTGAAGCCACGCCCCTTTCTGGCACGTGTCTCAACTAGGTCATTTAGGTGGCTTGGGACGGTGCTGCGGTATGTACATGGCCTTATGCGTTCTTAGTGCTTCTATAACCCCGGCGCTTCCCACGACCTGCGAGGATGCTGTGAAATTCTCATCCAGCCGCGGGCACAAAATTATGTTACCATAGTAGGCGCTGTATTGA